TTCTCTTCTTTTATTCTCGCTAGACTGCGTGTGTGAGTGTGTGTGCCCCCCACCGCCGCTGGCTGGCTGGCTGTGCCGCCGACACGCCCCCCATTTCCCCCTCCTTCCTCCTCTTTCCCGCTAGAGGCACCGGTAGTCGACGGCGGGGAGGACTCTTTTTTTTTTCCTCCGCTGCGGTAGCGGGGCGTGCGGCCGCCGCTTTCTGTGCCCGGTGCGGCGGGAGAGAAGAGGCGGGGTGTGCGGATGCGGCGTGTGCCTCACCGCGAGTGTGAGTGGGGCGCCGTTTCATCGCGGTCTGCGGTGCGGTGTACCCAGGCCACGGCAGTCGGTGAGGGCGGAGCAGCGGCATACTTTGGAGCCGCCCCGTCCTCCTCGCTGCGGCTGCGGGTGTGCGCTGTGCCCGTGGCGTGTCTCCTCCGCGTGTCTTCCATCCCTCGCAGGACGGGGGCGTCGCACTTCGCCTGCGCCGTGCCGTCGGCTGCGGCGTGTGTGCGGGGCTCTTGTGTGTGTGTGTGCGTGAGTGGAGTGCGGCCGCGAGTGACCCGCCACGAAGGCGCAGACAGTCGCACTGAGCCAAAAGAAAACGAATTGAAAAACTGCGCAACGTCTGCGGGAGGCAGCGCCACTTCGCACGGCGTCCCGCATGACATACGCGCCCTGCGGCGGCGGTGATGCCGCTGCGCTGCTTCATTTTAGTTTCATCGAGTTATTTATTATTTATTTTATTTTTTTACGCCGCGCCGCACTTCTGCCGCACTGTGCTGGGGGGAGTGGGGCCGGCGCTGGGCGAGTTGTGGTGGGGCCTGCGACGGGAAGGTCCTGCGGGCACGCGCGCTGCGTGTCGCCGCCGGCGGGGTTAAAAGGCGGCGCTTGACTTGTGTTTGTGGGTTGTGTTTTGACTTCTGCACTCTGCGGGCGCTCCCAGTGCGTGTGAGTCTCTGTGCCTGTTTCTTGGGGCGCCGCGTGTGCGGCCGTGCGTCCCACGCGTTCGTCGCTGCGGCCGGGCACTTGCGCCTCCCCCTCTTTTTATTTTCTCGTTTTATTTTGTTTTCTCCTCCGCGAGGTGGACGCAGACATTTGCGGCGTGAGTGTTGTGCTGCTGAAGGGCAGTTGTGCGTCCCGAGTGCGCCTTGTTTGCATCGTCGCCTGTTTTCTCCCCTTCACTCCTTCCGCCTCTCGCCCACGCACACAAACACGCCGAAGGAAAAGAGAGGCCAAACGCTGCTTGTTGCCGCTACTGTGCGCCTTGTGTGCTCTGCAGCTGCCACAACCGCCAGCAACACACACACGCACACACACACAACCGTCGCGGCCTGAGCGGACCCACCGCAAGGAGGAAAGGGAAGAGAGAGAGAGTGGGCGATTCAAGGATCCAACATGCCCCGGCACCTGTTTTTCTCTGCGGTGGCGCTGCTGCTCCTCGTGCCGATTTGCGAAGCTGAGGCCAAACAAAAGGCTCTACAGCTGCCGGACGGAGTGGACGTGTT